CAATGGAGGTGGGGGTTGTCTCCCTTCTGTACACGGGTGCCTAGCTTTTGGTATGACTAAAGGTTTGCACTGTGAGGTTTGTGAGTTGACACCAGTTCGACTGAAGTGTGGGGGTGTTTAGAACCCCTGGGGAACATGGGCTTATCTTTGGCTTCTGCATGAAAGGGCAGTGAGTTCCTACGTAGCACTTTGGGAAAGACACTTAAGTTGAGGTGATGAACCAAGTCTACATCCTCCTTGCCAGGTGTTAAAATGCACCCCAAGCGATATTCTGAGAATGCCAGGGTAAAGTCAGAGGAGACTGTGGCTGGAAGCTACTGCCCAGCACACTGTTCCCTTGGCAAGCGTGTCTTGGTTCTGCTAATTCTGTGAATTTCCCAGAAACTAGGGTGGGAATGACCTCCATATCGGATCACCCACTCGGTGCCTCTTGATGAGCTGGGGAGTGCTAGCAGAGTCTCTGGGTCTCTGTCCAGCCCACTTTTAAATGATGCAAGTGATAAGGCATTGATCGTCCCCAGGGCTGAATTTCTTTTGATTTGTTCAAGCTGTCGTTCTGCACACACACTCTTGTAACACCTTGTTAAGGTTCTTGCACCACCTAATCCTACTGGCCACCCATCTGCCAACAGGGATGGCTACTCAGTTAGACGGGGTCGTGCCAGTGCTCTGCCTTCACGTCCCTCTGCCTACCTCCTTCCAACAAAGTCAACTCTAGGTGCCCCCTTCAGATCCATGCACACATTTAGCTAATACAGGGGGTGGGGTGTAACTGTCTTCTTTCTAGCTGAGATTTTTTTCCTTATCTTTCACAATTTCTGACTTCTCTATAGCTACCCCCAAATTTTCTATTAGCCTGTAGTGGATTGCCTCGGTTTCACTCCTAAGTAAATCAGATGTTATTTATAGTTGGTGCATTTCATTAATTCACATCTTAGCCATGTCCTTTAGCACAGAATGTGATACATACTCCAATTATAAAAGACATTATTCTCCATTTGAAATGTCAAACTCATGTCCAATTTAATCTCCTTTTTTCTTTCACCTCAGCTGCTCTTTGTTTCAGGAAACATCTCTAAGGGGAAGAAGTATAATAATGTCAGTGGGTACTTATTTTTGAGCCATTTAACCAAGCTCTGCAGGAGCATCATTTGCTCGTATTTACAAATAAACTTGCCAATATGGGGTTACTAAAATTGTTAGCTAAGAGGAGAAATATGGTGTCTCTGGAGCCACACACACACCTAGAGGTAATAAGGGAGTCACCCATCCCTGAGAGCCTGCACATCCATGACCACCTCGCCAACAACAGCACTTCTTTGTTTCTTAACTGGAAGTCTAAGTGATTTCTCCTGCTAGTTATTATTATTATTATTATTTTGTAAAGGGAGCCTTAGTGCTGTGAAAGGGACATAGACTAAAAGCGCAAAGAGGAAAATAAAATGTCTGGGTTGTAATTTTAGAAGAGCGATCACTTTGCTGTTAACCACAGTCTGCCTGCGCCAGGTGTGCAGAATCTCTGACCTATGAAAAATTGTTTGGATTCCCCCCATTTATCTTGTTTGAGCAGTAAAGAAAATATAATTGAAGAAATGGCATTGAAGAGTATCCTGAGTTATTTGTTATTGAAAGTGGCATGCAGGAGCCTTTCCACGTTAAATTTAACATAAGGAATGGTTAAGTCTGAACCTATGGGGAAAGGACAATTGGAGTTTGCCTCTCCTTAGAAGGCTCTGATGGAAAATGGTACAGACGAGGCTTACTTTCCTTTCTCGCTTCTTCCCTTTTCTTTTTTTTTTTTTTTACATCCGTTTCTTTTTTTTCCTTTTTAAGTTTATTTTTAATGTTTTTTGTTTTTGTACATTCAATCACTGTGTATCATTATAGCATACCAAATGAATTTTCCCATCCTCGATACACTGTATATTGGTCCAGTCAAAGGTATTACTGTACATATTATCATTAACAGATAATTTTCCATTTTTTTCCCCTTAAATGTTTAGCTGCTTTCTTTTCCCCTTGATTCCCTCCTTCTCACTCTCCCCACTTCCCCACCCTCCTCTCACAATATCTCTGGTATCTACAGTTGCTCTCCATGCCTTTTTACCTTCCAGTCGTTCAGTTTCTATCATAGAGTGCAGGCGTTCCGTATATATTGAGTGGGGACATACAGTGCATCTCTTACATAGTCTGGCTTGCTTCACTTCTTAAGGTGATGCTGAGCTAGAGGTGCAGATTGACAGTGAGAAGTGACTTGCGTGTATACAGTCATGGGCATAATGATTGCAATTTGAAAGTGATGAGTGGTGAGGACTTGTTGTTCCCAGTGTCAGACAACAACGATGACCCAGTCCTCGGGCTGGAAATACCCGTCCTTGGCCCCTCTCTCCATCTGATGCACGCTGAAGTGGGGAAAGCCTGGCTTCAGCACTGTTCATAGATAAGACCTTCTTTTCTTCATCTCCAAAGCACTTTCTTGACCTGTTCAAAATGCTTTTCTCTGTCAGTCCTAGAAAGTGCTTGAAGTACTTTCAGTACTTAAAATACTTTTAAATAAAGACCTTTAGTAAATAAAAGGCAGTAGGGAAACATACAGAGCTGAGATGCAGAACGAGAGCCCCACGCTGATCACCTGTGTTTGACCCCAACTAAGCCAGCTGGTGGCCGGGCAGCCCTGAACATGTTTCTTAACCATTTCAGTCTTCAGTTATTTGTGAGTGGAACAGGGATGGCCCAGTGAGCCCCATATTACCTCTCTCGATAAGCTGCAGGGTGCATGTCTTTACAGGTAATATCTGGGACCTGGTAGGACATAGGAAGAGTGGAATATTATTGTAATTATGACTAAGAGAAATCATTTTGAAGAGTTGGTCTGC